GTCGTTTCGTGCTCGCGCGGAGCGACGAGGGACTTCCGCCGATCGCAATCGTCACGCGACGGTTTATTACGCGGGGAGCAAAATAAAAATAATTTCAGAATTTAACGCCATTTGCGCAACGCGAAATTGAATAACTCAGCGATCGCGCGCTACACGCTCGCCGTTCCCGCGAGAGGGAAAATTCCACGAAGGAAGAACCGGATGGCGGACTCGCGGCTCTCGCTCTCATTCGAGTTCCGCGTTCGACCCATCCACGTGGATATTTGCGTTTCAGATCGCCGTAAAAAGATTATTACGGTCGGAGATCGCCCAAATGGTACCCCCGCGTTCTTCCCGTCCGAATGAGAGGCGTCTGCAAACACACACGGCACGTCGTAAAAAAAGAAAAAAAAAAAGAAAAAAAAATAACGTTCGCAACCACACACATACGTGATACACGGTAAGCCTGATTCAATATAGGAGGCGGTATAGGTACGTGCGATGCGCGCGCGTACACGTGTACACACGATACGCGATAGCAGGACCTGCTCTTCACGGCTCGTTCCCATCGGTGCCAAGGTTGCATCGTACCCGTGTACATTAGCTGCACTAGAGCAGCCCGAGGCCTCTTGCGTGCGGAGTGCCTCGCGTGATGCTTACGCTCGGAGCTTATCGCACGGCGCACACGTATATCCCGTATGCGTATGCGTGCGTTACAGTCGCGCGTACGTAAAACGCGTGTGCGATAGTGTAGAAACGACAACGGCAACGACAACGACGACGACGACGACGGTCTAGGCTAAATAAACGCACAGCCGCAGGATTTACAGAGGGAGAAAGAAAGAGAGAAAGGGGAGATAGAGACGCGAGAGCAATTTCCTATGAATTGCTCTTATCTATATGTATCATCTGGCTGCAAGCATTGCGCAAGCCGTTGCCCGGATTCTCATGCACTTCTCGAGCGCGAGATTAGCGATAGATTTATATGGAAATTCGGAACACACATCGCCGAGGGAGATCGCGATGTAGAACTATATACATAGCGCTCCATAAATTTAGCATCGTAGGAAAAAAAATTAAGAAGACAAAACCAACGCTTTTATTTATATAATCTATAACCACCATTGTTCTCAATGCGCAAAATTACACGGTTTATTCAGTGAAAAAGCGGGAAAAAGTGGAACAATGGCGTTATCGTTATTGCAATAATGCCCCATGATGCCTAGATTTATGGGACACCCTGTACAATTAGCTTCTTATAACTTGGAAATGCAGAATATGTTCGATCTTATAATAAATACCACGTTATCTCTCTCGGTGACGACCGTGATGCTTTTATCGGGCGAATATATGTTCATTAACGTCGATATAATATTCGTCGTATGTAGACATTAATGTATCTAATTAATGTATACGCGGTCGCGTAATGAGTATCCACGAGAACAGAACCACGCAAACGTTATCTAAACATTTCATTATGAATCAAATGTATATCTCGCCGCCGCGTCGCGAGACTCTCACGAGCGCGTATGCAAATCGAGCGCGGGAATAACATATTTTCGTTTTGGGCCGGTGATATCGGTTATCCCTCTCCGTGAACAATGCGCGCTGCCGATTATCTCCGGAATGTGGAATGAGCGATACGATGCGCCCGGGCCGATAACGCATAGCACGTATATCGGAACAATGTTACAAAGAGCATTTGTAAAAGGCCGCAGCGGCGCGGCGGCGGCGGTGGCGGCGGCGGCAGCCCATCCTCGGATCGATTCTGGAGCGACGTCCCGTAAACTGAAATCATCCAAGATTCCCGGCGACGCAATCATCTCCGGCGACCGACCATATTGGAACTGTGCCACTCGTGGGCGGCGCGCGGCCACGATAAATAGTAAACGCTCATCGTAACGCGATCCGCTAACCGATCGCGAAGATGTATAGTTAATTCCTTCGTCCGTCGGCGTAATTCACGATCGATCGGCAATCAATTCGAACGCGATCGAGATAAGGCAGTACCGTTATGTAAATTATACATAATATTAATGTTCATCGACGGATAAAACACATGAAATGAGACGACAATTTGCCGCGCGTTAGATGATCGCGAAGAAACGCGCGCGACGTCTCAGAGGCGTTTTCCTGCAGGCGATTTAAAGAGAAACGAGTCTGCAGAAAACTTAACTCGTAAACTTCGGCCGGGCGCGCGTCGTACTCGTAATTTGACGCGACACGGCGTGGACACGGTGATGATGATTGATCGACGTTTTGTCGCGATACGAAGGAGCCGACGTGTACGGCGCGCATTGACCGGCCCGATAATGCACGCCGATATCACTTCATTCCATGTATTATCGTGTTTTCTTTTTATCTTCGCGTAAAGTATAACCTGGTGCATCGTGGACGATAAGGAGAAAGAGCGCGCCTTATTATCCGATAAAACCGGCGACGCAGCCTTGCAGAACAATTTCCCGCCATTCGGCAAACAGACGAGCTCTCGTCTAAAGCTCCTGTCACACTATGCATTCGAGGAGATCGAGGATTGCGAATTAAAGATTAGAATTCGACCAGGTCAGATGAGAGATAAGGTAATTTGAATTTTAATCCGCTTCATTTTGCGACTGGTTGAATTCTAATCTCTAACTCACAACTCGCAAATCTCGAATGCGTAGCGTGACACGGGCTTAAAGACGACGCCGGCTGTCAACAGCATGATCGATCGCGATCGCAGGTCTGTGACCGTGAATTTCGTCGCCTGAGACGGAATTATCTGATCCTACGATTACTTTATTCAAATCAATCAAATCGCGACAATTCGCACGATCACAGTAAAGCAATAGAAGTAATTAAATAATGAATAATCTAATAATAATAATAATAATAATAATAGTTAAATATAATAGAAGACAAAGATTGATAAAGATTGATAATAGCAATGCTTTCGTAAAATTTTCAAAGTCTGACTCTACTTTTGGAGCAGAGTGTCCGGATAGAAAAAGAGAGAGAGAGAGAGAGAAAGAAAGAAAAAAATGTTATCAGAGAGCACACAGTAACGAGATTTCGTCGTCGTAACATTGACTTGGTCAGTTCTCGGCATATCAATTTTTCGCGGGGCATCGATCTTCCGCGCACACCGGTTAGGTTAAATCGCCGAGCGATGTTTACGTTTCGTGCCGGAAAGTTTCCCCCGACGTGCCGATTCCGACGGCCGAAAACACGTCGCGTCGCCGGAGGAACGATCGAGTTGCGCGCGCGCGCGCGCGTGTTGCGCGGCAATAGGAGCACACCATACGATAAGGCACGAAAACGCCCTCGTAAATCGCGTCCGTGGGCGCTGATAACGGCGGGCGCATTCGCGTGACCTTCTCGCTCGCTCGTTCGCGCTTTAAAGCCCGCTCTAAGGCCGCTTTTAGAAGCGGTGACTGATAACGAGCGCTCGCTCGCCCGCTCGCTACCGCCGCGCGCCGCCGTCGCCGCCGCTGCCGCAAATTGCGCCATTCACATCTCAATAGCCGACCTTCACCCCGTACATTTAGCATCTACAATACGATGTATGTATATGCGTCGACCGTGCGGCGCGTATCGGTCGCTTCGCTGCAGAACGGCGGCGGGCTATCGCACGAACCGGGTGACTCACTTCGTTCCAGCGCGTCGCAACGGATACGGCACGCCAATTCATGAACGTGTCGTATTACGTACGCTCGAATCGATAAAAGCGCAGCCCAAAATCTCTGATCTTCCGATACGCATCTACGCGTCGCGCGTCGAGACTTTTAAACTTCAGTAAACATCTCAAGTTCTACTCGAGCACCATGTATAAGCTGATAATTTTTTTTTCCCCGAAAGACAAAGGCATTTAATTTCGATCTTTACGACGAAGCATTTTTACGATTCGTTCACGCAATAGGAATTGCATGGAATGAATTGTTTACGGGAATGAATTGTTTGCGCGAATATCGTTGACTTTCACGGCCATCGCGCGGAGAAAAATAACGTTTTCAACGATGAGCGGGCTGTGTCGGCTGTGTGGTCGAGTAAAAACCGAATAACCTTGGGATCGTGCTAATCGACGGTCTAGCACCGACACGCTAACTATTATTCGTAGGATAGTCCATCTCGTTTAGACGCTTTTTAAGTCACAATTCAGCGTACTTGGAAGTAGTAAAGCGTTAATTAGCGGGGCGGCCGATAGCCCGCGAAAACCACGTCTCATTTCAGTACGCTTCAATGCATTTAATGACGCTATTATATAGGTCGTTATGCGGAATCGTATAGTCGAAATAACATTACCCCGCTTTCTTCGTCGTAGGAGACACGACGATTTTTCCTTCCAGCGAAGGTAACAACAATCGCGCGCGAGGTCAATCGCATTCGCAATCTACAAACCGTTAATGAAACGCGGAATTTTTATCAATTTAAATCACGTATTAGCGGGAAAAATATACACACGGCTGAATCATCAACGTCAGCGATCTCTCATTGTCTCATCAATATTAAATTACGTTTAATGAGCGCGCCGTCGTCTAAAAGTGTCCTTACATCGCACGTAATTATACGTGAAATTTGTTAATTATAGTTCGTAAGTATTTAACGGATTTTTTCCTCGTCTCGAGCGTATTTCACCGAAAATCCCCGTGGTACCTCGACTCTCCCTTGTCCCGGTTTCATTCGGCACGGCCCATTTGCTAATCTCAATTAAAAATAGAGATCTAACGATCGCGCCCGTTATACAGCTATAACGCATAATAAGTGCCGCGTAATGTAGTTTCATTACAGAATCTTATTATACGTTCTTAAGACACTATTAAATATATATATAATCTTAAACGATATACCCTCTTAAAGACTTAACGGCCGCGCATAAATAATTTACAAACGTGTGCCGTCGAGTGAAATGACCGGTAATTTAGCGGCGCGTTTTTCATCCGGATCGCGGGTGGTATCATCTCTCCCCGCGATCCGTGACGTTAGCGCACGGCGATCGATCGCACATATCAATTACACAGGATAATGCTGTGTGTAATACGTACAGTTGCCACGTGGCGCCCAGTGCTGAGTCCCCTGGATGATGGCCGACACCGACATCATCGGCTTCTCCTTCTTCATCATCTTGCCCGGCTGCCTGCCCGATCTACTTTCACTCGTCACCGTGGACCGATTTATTTTGCCGATCTTTTTCGCACACACAAACGCGCGCGCGCGCGCGCACACACCACCGCCGCCACCACCCTCCCCTGTGGCACAACCACCAACCCTCCCGGCGCGCTACCGATTTGTGTGTTTTCGTTTCTCTCTTCAAACGGAACTCAAGCCCCGTCCGCACCGCGTCATCTCGCGAAAGAAGTTCCCGCCGCCTTTTCCACCTTGTCCTGCCCTTCCTCGAGCTCGAGCCTTTAAACTCCTTCTTTTGGTATCGATTTGGTATGGTTGCTCACTGCACTTCTTTGGTTCGTTCGTGATCGATCGCGCGACCGGTTGCTTAACTATTCTACAGCAGAAAAGAGAAGGTTTTTTTTTTCAGGAAGGTGCAGGAAGGGATAACGACGGGACGCGAACCCGAACGAAAAAATCCTTCACCGAATCGTACCGGCGACCTTGAATCCCACGGCATTCACCGACAAGTAGCTCATGTTTCCCTTCTAGTGAAGGGCTTGAGGTAACAACGCACTAAGTCACGTTCCTAATTACGGGCCCGATCCGAAACTCGCCTTTCCACATTCTTTTTAATCCATACATTAAGATTCGTGCACTTCTTACGACACGAGGGATCTAAATTATACATGAAAAAAAAGTGTTTAATCGCGTAAAATGAGTGACAAAGGGTGGGGGGAATGAACGAAAACAGTATCAGCCAGACGGAAAAATATTTTGAACGAAGCCATCAATTTGGAGATATTTGATCAGCACGAAATATATTTTATAGCACATTTACGAAAGCTTATTATTAATGCGCATAACGAGTGATTTTTTTTCATCGCGATAAATACGCGCGATACGAGTGTAATATTGCAGTCCTTTATATCGGACTGACTTATTCATAATTCCGATTTCGAATGCGCGACGTTATCTGTTCGATTTTATCATCGATCAAACAGTTGGCTCGTCGTCACCGCGCAGATACCTGCGCGAGTAGTCGCAATGGGGATCCAACTGCGAAACGTAAAATCGCGGCAAATTGTATTTCACTGTTTCCCCCGCTATCGAACTTTGCGACAAATATAATGCAAGGTGTTTCGAACAACAAGATCGTCGCGATCGGAACGCAATTTCGGTACGCTTCTTTCGGAACACGATGGAAACGAGGATTCGAGAAAAATCGCCTGAAGTGTGCCAGGCGTGACGCGTGTAATTAGTCACGGGTTTAAGCAAGCGCTTTAATTTTTACCGCGTGGCCCGGATTGCAAAACAGCCGAGCCGTGGCCGCCGTCCCGCGACTCGGCGTCTCTCGATCGGTGGAGGCGTCCCTTTCTCTGTTCGTTCGTCAAATTATCCCGTCGCCGCGGAGAACGGATCGGAGTGCCCGCGCGAGAGAATACTCGAAGGAGAGAAAAGAGAGACGGAGACGCGCAGCCGCGCGCGCGCGCGTTACTCACGACCAATTGAATCGGATTGTAAATGGCTTCGGTAAACAGGCCGGCCGATCGGCACGGAAACGTCTGAACGTTACGTCGGAGTATCCTCCAGTCGCGATTAAAACTCGTGATTATTCGACGCCGCGAGGTGAGCGAGAGAAGAGGCGCGCCGGTGAACGCGGCGCGCGGAGTTAGCCGTAAGAAGGCCCGCCGCGTCTCGACGCGGACAACCGTATTTTACGCTTTTTGCGCGTTCAAGAAGAATCCGAAGAGAAAGCCCGAACTAAAGAGGGACAGACAGAGAGCGAAGGAGAGGGTGAGAAAGAGAGAACTCTCTTGCCCTTGTCGAGGTCGCCGCCGGTCGAGAAAACGCCCGCCGGAGATTCGCGGGGGTGGCGAGAGGGCGCGGGAGGCAGCTCCTCCCTCGGGAGCCTCCTCCCGCGGGAGGATGTCTTCGCGGGAGTATAGAAACCGTGCGAAGACGAATGTGCTGACTCGAAACCTGCCGCCGCCGCCGCCGCCGAGCTGGCCGGCCTTCGCACGCGAGGAAAAAGCGCGTTCGTCGAAGAGGCAAAAAAGAGCGCGCGGTGTGTCGGTGACTCCGACGCGGCGTTTCCCTTCGCAGAAGCAGCGTCCCGCCGCGCCGCTGTCGCTTTCGTTCGCAGGCGCGAGAGGATAATGCCACTGGGACTGGGACTCGATATAAATCTCGCTTTTTTCGATAATTTATTTCGCTTTCCTCTCGCGATCGAATGAAACACGAATGAAAAAAAGAATGGAAGGGAAGAAAGAAAAGAGGACGGATGATGACGGAGACGAATGTGCGCTACGCGAAAAGCCGAGGACCTCGCGCGCGCGACGACCGTCTGCCCACCGCACGGTGTGCGTGGGCGAACGGATTATATTCCTAAAATATGCGCCCTCGGTCGTTATCTGACCGTGAAAATCTGACTGCGCGAAGCGAAACACCGCGGGGCATAATTAACATGAAATTACGACGTGTGTGCGAGACGAGAAACTCGATATTAAATAATCAAGCGACTTGTATCGAGGTCGCGTTACAAGATTATTATAAAAAATAAAAAATAAAAATAAAGCGGAGCGTTGGCGATCTTGTTCTCCAAAACGACTGAAAACGGCGGCCTCTTCTTTTTCGACACGCAGAGCGACCGAGAGTCTCTAAAAATATTTATCACTGGCTTTTATGCAGTTTCTCTTTCGCGCGCCGCGTCGCGATCTCGAAATAACAGCCGGCGCGCGTTCTCTCTCTCGCGCGCGCGCTACGATCGGCGCGCGATTCGCACGCACACGCTCGCGACCTTGACCACACACGCACGCAGGAAATGCGATTGCCTTGTCGCGGCGATCGACGCCGGCTAACTCTCGCGGGAGATAGGAGAGAAAGAGAGAGAGCGAGGAAGACGCGATAGAGACCGCGACTTACGTAATGCACCAAGCAATTGCACGAAATGCACATGCACGGACCGTCGCCGTCACGTGCGTGTGCGCGCGGCTGTTGGGGCCGTTGTCGTTGCACTTGTCATGCGACAAGGTTGCCGGCCATGTCAATTGGCTACGGGAATGCCTCCGGAGTTAGTTGATAGATAGATCAATATCGCGAGACAAAGTTGGAGCAAGTCTGTAATAACGTTGAATTTATGATGGCCCTTAATCGCGCCGAGAGTTCTCTCGTTTTCGTGGCCTCTCATGCTTCAACTGACATGTTTAATAATCTTGTTACATAATCCAACGCGAACTCGGAAATTTTGATGGTGGGAACCATCGGGATTGGATTATCAACTTAATTGCAGATAACGATTTGCGAATTTAACTTCTAATTTCCCGATTGACTTCTTATCTGGACTCGAATATTTTTACCGATCTCCGATTCAACTGATTGATCGTCTAACAGAGTTCCCCCCCTCGCACCCGTCTCTCTCGCACCCGTTTGTTCCGCGTTCCGCGAGCGGTTGTCCGCTCGATTGTTCTCAATTACGAAGCAGAATCGATCATCCGTGTCGATCGTGGGTGGATCGCAATACGGCGAGCAAACGACTTCCCGCGACCGATCGCTAATGTCGAGGTTAAAGTTCAAGGTTAACGTCAAGACTGCGGCGGTCGGGACGCGCTATAGCGAAAAGGCAGATCGATATGTACCGCCGTACTATAGGGATTCGTGGGCGAGAATCGCGCCGATCCGAATCACGCCCTGAGCAAAACAGAATCGAGCTTTACAATTCTTGGCGTTGTTCGAAACCACCCTAAAAGATTTCGACTGGCAGAGTGACTTAGGTGCGTTATAGATGCAAAGATGCACTATTAATTCAAAACGGACGCGTCTGAGATTCAAGCTCGCAGATAAGTGCGAAAGATGTTCCCCACATTTTGCGACTTTAATTTTGAAGCAGTGAAGGGGAACCGCTACGGAAGGAACGTCGACATGAACAGAAAGCGTCTTAAAATATCGAAGGCGCGAGGTGCCAATCCTCTCTGTGCACGTGTACGTGTGCTGCGATTATATTTCTTCGAGCGTCAGGTAACACAATAAAATGGGGATAGTCGATACGCCTTTTCGCGTCACAGCCAAGAGTGACGTGTTATATGCATTATCAATAAAAGCGATATATTCCCGAAGCCGGGCGATGGGCTGACGTAATTAAAAAGACGGGGATGATCGATAATGTTATTATAGAACGTGCGAGAAAGCGTGCCGATACGGTATATCGTCCTGCGAAACGATCGATTGGCCACGTTAATTCTGGTATCCTGCACAGGTCAACGGCAAAAATATGCCGTCGGTTATAGAGGAGACTATATTTTATGCATGACGCGCGCCGCGATAGACGCAATCTCTTTCATGCGCCGCCAATGGGATGCAGATTTGGCTGCCCGATTGAACCGCCGGTTTAGTGAAGGGAATTTACGTTACTGCAAATAATTTATATTACAACAATAAATTCCACATTTGCGAAATTTCCCTAAAATGAAATTGAATGTAATAAATCTCGAGATTTTCTTTCATATATTACGACCGTGCAGCCCTTTAAAAATTCCATCGGACTTTTAATACACAAATTCGTTTTCTTGATAAAAAGAAATCTTTATATTGACGTAATTTAGATCGCAACACCGTACACATACACGTGAATCACTTGACAACTTCGCACAAACGAGCCGCGCAAAAGTAATACCTCGTTTTCACTTGACACGTGAAAGAAACATTGACATGAAAGGGACATTGTCGCGGTTTTTTTCCCTTGAAGAAACATGATGAGGCAACCGTTATCAATTAGAGTCGAACTCGAGTCAAATTTTCGTGATACAATAGAGAACGTATTTTAGCCTCTGAAAACGGAACCACGTCATCGTGATCACGTGAACGGTCGTAATCCACTTAAACCTAAAACGCAGTAAGTTTTACTCGCGGATGCTGATGAGAAATATGTGTATACCACTATCAGCGTAAATATCATGACATTTGAGGTCACACTGATGCCACGTGAAAACGAGGCCTTTATACGGCGGCGGCGACGATATACACGTCCGCGATTCTTGTGCGGCGGGCATCGAGCCTCGTGCGTGTATGTGTATGTTCAACACGCGCACTGAATGTCATCTCGAAGCATTGATTTTCCACAATACACGAGC